TTCTCCAGTTTTTGCTACATCTTACGGAAAAAGGATTATTCCTTTCCTCCATAAATATATACATCAGCAATTGTCATGCATCAAGCGCAAGAATCTACAGCTTCACACATCTTTAAAAACTCAATCCTCAAAAGATTTTTGAAGGATCTGAAAATTGTTTATCCAGCCATCAGAGCCCTGCTGCAGCAATGGACACTGACTTTTCATGCTTACACAACTGCCATTCGAGCCCATGACAACTTTGGATGCCAGACTGCTGACCTACAAGACCATGTTCCTGACTGCAGTTACCTCTGCACACAGGGCGAGTGAACTCTGTGGTCTCTGACACGACCCACTTTTCCTACAGTTCCATAAGAGTAAGGTGTCCATGTACCCTGAACTTTCCTTCCTATCAGTAGTCTCCAGTTTCCACATGAATCAACCTATGGTGTTTTCTACATTTTTTCCATCACCCACCTTGGAGGTAGAAAAGTCACTGCATACTTTCGATATTTGAAGAGTGTTGGCCTGCTACATGATAACGAGACGATTCTGAAAATTTACCAGACTTTTTGTCAGGTGCCAAGGGTCAAAGGAAGGTGATTGTCTTACATTGCAGAGATTATCAAAATGGATATTTAGCACTATCACTTTATCCCTACCAGCTAGCAAACAGTCAGTGCCCACTTCTTTAAAAGGGCATTAAGCCAGAGCAGTTGCTGCATCTACTGCATTTCTCAGAGGAATTCAGGTAACAGACATTTGCAAAGCAACGCCATGGTTGCAGCCGTTGACATTCATCCAGGATTATAGATTGGATGTCAGGGCTATGCTTGATGCTGCATTAGGCAGTGATCTCCTTTGCATTGATGTGGCATCCCACCAGCTGGTCAGTGAACTTGTCAGTCACCTATATGTGTCATTCATAGAGACCATGAAGGACAGGTTGCTTACTTGTAACTGTAGTCTTCTAGTGGTCATCTATTAATACACACAATCCACTGAAACTCCCCTCTACCTGTTTATGTATCAGCAATGAACTGGAGGAACTATGGATTAGATGCAGGGTGGGGAGCATGTGTGCTGGAGAAGGTGTGTTCTAACACTTTCTTTAGGTTCTATAAGGTTCCAAGGACATTTACACAGGCACAAAAGAAACCCATTTTATGTGAATTCACAGATACCCGCTCAAAGAACTACGGTTACACATACGCAACCTGTCCTTTCTTTGACTGGCTTCTGATATTTGACTACCTGATCTTGTTATAGCCAGCTATAAGACTTGGTTTGTCAAGGTCAAGCCCATCAGTCACAGTAGCACTTGCCAAAGTAAACTCTAGTGAGTTGAATAAAAAACAGCAGCAGATGTGGACAGCTGGGAGACGATAACACAAATTAAAACTTTGGCTGAGTTACATATGTTTGTTTTGCTTCTCCCATCTCGCATGTAAGCTAGGTTATAGAGATTAAGTGCCAACTAATTAATATTGTTTAGGAGAATGTTTCTTCAGTAAATATGGCCAATGCAGTATTTGCAGACCTGCCCAAAGAATTGGTCTGAATATTTGCAAAATACTGAGCCTGTACCTTCTAGAAGCCATCAGTTGCCAACCTTTCCTCTTGTATCTTGATCCTTCTCTACTCAAGGTTACTTTCGTATCTTAAGCATATTGAGTTATTGTTAAAACAGATACACTTACCAGGGGAGGGACAAAGGGTTTTTCACTCCCCTCCCCCAAATTAAACTTACACTGGGTAGCTCAGACTCTTCTGTATGAATACATTGGGACCATACTATCCAGAAGCCATAATTATAGTTGTCAAAAACTTGTGTCATTTATTGGAGCTGGGACTTCCTAAGATCATCAGAAGCTCCAAAATTGAAAACCATTGCTTCATAAAGAACTAATTAGTCACTTCCATTTATACTTCCCAAACCCTACAAGAAAGTCTGACTGAGGATATAGTGCAGCCTCATTAAGACGAACCTCAGAGATTTTGCTTTTTAATCCAAGGCAGCTACTGAGCTTGTAATGATCATTTCCCATTGCATTCAAATCAGTTCAAAAGCTTTGCTCACAGCTGAAAAGAAATACTGGCTTCCGTTCCCCATGGCTAATGGCCGAAAAGATGTTATTTGGAGGAAGACCAGAACTGAGCAGCCTCTGTGCAAGATGAAACTGGGATGATCTGCATATCCTTCCCCACCCTGTGCATAAAGGCATCTCTGAGGCTTCTGAGGGTTATAGCATTTATAGGGCAAGTATAAATTTAGTTTTGGAAGGGAAGTGTTCAGTCTCTTTTCTTTGGAGGAGGGAATGTGGAATGACATGTCCCTTATGTAGAGGGTGGGGAATCATCTAAAGTTTAAATTAATTAGCGCAAGTTAAGTAACACATTAATAACCTTAATTTTAAAGTATTTTACAACAATAATAACACTGGCTGAAATTCAGTACCAAGTTGCAACTAGAGGAGGTCCACAGAATCAGTGGGGATTTTGTGAGTCAACTCCTCCATAAATTCTATTGATTCAGTGGGCCTACTCTAGTTTAAACTTACTGCTGCAATTTAGGCAATTATCTAACCAGTTTCTAATATTTAGCCAAATAATTTTTAAACTTAACATTCTTCCATGTTTAACCAAGCAAAAATGTGTTCTTTAGAATGACATTTCCCACACAGAGTATGAAAAAGCTGGCTGATAGAATTTGCCAACAGGCCAATTACACCTCAAGTTGTGAGTACAGGAGAGTCCCCTAGAGTCCTAAGTCATACACAATTGTTGATTGTTCTGGGTTTTTTGGGCTCTTTGGCGGTGTTCTGAAGGTTGTTCTTCCTGACGTTTCGCCAGTCTCTGTGGCCGGCATCTTCAGAGGACTGGAGTAGGAACTCTGTCCATACACGATTGTATTTAAAACAAAGCATTTCTAGCATTTTTCGAGGTATAAACATGTCAATGTCTGGAAGCAGGCGGAACTCTTTACAGTATATGATCTACACAAATTCAGCAAGTAACTTAAACAAACAAGTCCCTTTTATTAGCATTTTAGTGTAGGAGATCTTTCTCTACCTAGCATTTGATATTGAAAAAAATGTTTTTGGTTCAGTGTTTTTGCGGAATGTAGCATCTCTGTAAGCGTTGCACTTTGTGTGATTTTCAGCATGTAGTAGCACAAGCCAGAGATTGCCTAATTCAAAACAGTGGGAATTTCCGTATTCATAAGTGGGTGGTTAATACCTATTTACACAAGTGGCATGAAGGAAGAAGTCACATGTGAAACAACCCATTTATGCCTGTTTAAAAAACAAAACAAAACAGGATTCCATCCAGTGTTTATTTTAAAAGGGCAGTGAATTGTGGCTGCTGCGTGGCTCTCAGTATTCCAGGAAAACTTTGTCTTCATTACATGAAAGACCAGCCTCTGCCAAGCATTTAATTTAGGGCTACCAAGCCAGCTGACAGTATTTGCAGAGAAGTTCAAACGTTATTTAGTAAAACTTTGTACCAGGAAGATTTTTCTATATTCAGAACATGCCTATCGACATCCTTCTCAGACTTCTCTCTGCAGTCGCCATAACTCTTTCCAACAGACTTCTGACCCCTTCTCCCCAACGTTATTGCCATGGCTTATTTTTAAGTTCTGCCACCACTACCTAACAGGATGTCATATCTCACATGATCAAGTCTCTTCTGGATTTCTGAGACCACATTTTACATAGTGCAAGAATTTAGTTTAGCCTTAGAGATTAGGGTATTTGTATACGAATCCCCATGCAACTGGACTTAACTAGGGGCTGACCCTTGCAGCCTGCCCGTCCACTCATGTGTCCACCGGTGACAGCCTTGCTCATGCTTCCAATCGCTCCCGGAGCTCCGCTCTCTTCCTGCTCGACTAGCGACTCAGCAGCCATACAGGGAGACTCATCTTCCCTCCCACTGCCTGGAGTGGCTAGCCAAGCAGGAAGAGAGCAGCACTCCGGGAGCGATTGGAAGGATGAGCGAGGCCGCCAGTGGCAGCAGGCATGTGAGTGGGTGGGCCAGCCGCATGGGCCGGCCCCTCGTTAAGTTCAGCTGCTTGGAGATACTCATATTAATATACGAATACCCCCATCTCTACTTAGCATTACTGAAATTATTTTGTCCACCAGCTCCAGAGAAAGTATAGTCATTAGAAAGAACAATAACTTTGTTCTTACTACACAATAAAGCTAACAATGATTTTATATATAGACTTTATTTACAAGAGAAAATTACTCATTAGTGGCTGCAAAAATCTGCAAGTACATGTGAAGCAGTGGAGTACTCTTGTGGATAAAGTTAACATGATTACAAGGACTAATGGCACTTATTATCATTGCCTGGTCTGGTGATCAAAAACTTCCAAATTACAAACAATATCAGAGTTGCTTCGTGGAACAGTATTATGAGTTTTCTCTGTCCAGTGGCACAAGTACAGTACACTTTGTTTCACTTACTGTATTTTTAAGCAATTTAAATCGAAGATAATCTTGTCCCACCAATGCTAGGAAGAATTCTGTGCCAGATTCTTGAATTCTGATCATATTTTAGTATGATTTTGAGAATTTAACAAACAGGAATCTTAGAGTTGGTATTTACATTTTTATTTAACGTCTTCTGATGGAAGCCTCCACCGGGGTATGCAAAAGCTTCCCCACATCATGCTTTTTAAACACTGTGACCCAACACTTCTCAGTATTGCTTAGCTTGGTTCATAATAAAAACAGCTAAAATTGTGACTTAGTCCTGAATATGGCACATGCCAATTTTGGCTGCTCAGTTATATTAAGCAGCTCAGATAATGAGATGTGAAAGTAGCAACCTAGGTTTTACTTTAACAGGCATTAAACTACACTAAACTGGTACTGTTTTAAAGTTGTAACAAAAGAGTAAGATTTATTTTTTAATCATAATCCTCCTAAAGAAGCAGATCAAAAGCTGTGGAACTGCTCAATGCAAATAATCTGAGCGCTACAATATAAATGTTCTCTTTACAGATATTGGGAGACACACGCACCCCCATACTGCGTGCAAGGACGTGGCATTCAGTACCACCTACCACAAGGACAATACCTCAAGGTCGACTGTGCTGTTAAATCAAACTTTTACTGCTGTGGTACCATGGGATGTATTAAATCAAAAAGCCCCTTCCCGCACACTATTCTAGATGATGGAAGCAGGGAAATCGATGGATACAATAGTGGATGTAACACAGAAAAATCTGCTCTTATTCAGCGGTCTGGGATGTCAGCTTCAACAAACACTGCAGTGCTGGACTTTGCTCATCGTCTCTCGCTAGAGATTCTGGATCAAGCTGTGAAGCAATGGGCACTAACGGAAAGCAAATACAGTGACATCCCATTCATAGAGAGCGAGGAGCCATGAAATGCAAGATTTGGCTCCCTTCACCATGACTCCATCAGGCCTCTCATGTTTTGGTGCTAGCACAAATAAAGTGATGTTTCAACCAGCAGAAGTTGTGATTTCCAGAGGTACCAGAGTTATACAGAGGCCGCTAGCCTTGGCTGAGGCAGTGTAACATCTTGCCTTTACTATTAAACCTCTAACAGAACCACAGTAGCACCAAATGGTTCCAGGGTAGCAGACGGGTCAGCACCACTAGAGATGCACAAGAATAGGGCATGCAAGCTCATGTCTGTTTGGAATCTGTGGTATAAAGGGCATCATTGGAAGACCAAACAAGACTGGGCCACCATTTGTAAATTAAAGATTAGAGCTCTTAGCAGTGACAGGGTGTTCTGGCTGCTACTGAGCTCTGTGGATTAATCACTCTAGGCAAAATAATATATTTAAGCACAGGATTCGGTCTTGTCAAATTTCAGCATTACTAAGAAATTTGTCTGTTTTATTCTCCCACTGGAACATGAGATTTAAATGCTTAGCAGAAGAACAAATCATACTAACAGCTTATCTACTGCCAGACTTTACTTTCCTAGACATATCAGTTCTCTAGTGGTCTGCAACCTTTTTTAGCTGAGCAAACAAAAATTAACTTCAGACCAAAGACTAAAAGTAGAGGGATGATAAAGGAACATGTGAACAACATTGAGTGTTTCTTACTTAAGAAAAAAGAAATCAGTGAAAATGGTCAGCTGATCTTGTGAGCCTTGGGAGTTATTCAGACCTGTTCTGGCCTGTTTACTTTTGTGGCAAAATTTTTAATATTGCTAAAGAACCTTTGTATAGATCACAAAGTGAAGGAAACGATTCAGCATCAAAAGAAAAGAAAATTATAATAACAGCCCACAGCTTAAAGCAAAGTGGTGAATTCATGGCTTTTCAGCTGTTGCTGTACTGCAGTGTCCATCATCCTTCACTATGGGCCATGCCTTGCAGTGCAAAATGTGGAGAACCAAGTATTTTCCATCCCTTATTTAAAATACTATTCGTGAATGTACAGAAACAGAACGGAATGGAAAACTCCCAAAAAGAGAGGGCTAGATCAGGAATTTAGGGATGTAGTGACATGATATATGTTTTACTGGAAATGCTTGGGGTGGGTCCTTGCTGTAATCTTCACTGAAGAGTAAGTTCCAGTGTGAGAGGAAAAGGATGGGCACTACACCCAAGGCATTCTGGCTATAACGCTCTCAGCCAACATGAATAGCTGTTGAAAAGATTTATCTGACTGTCATAGATATCACACAGTGTCATTTCCAGCCACTGCAGTTACATGTTCAATACAAAAAAAAAGTTGGTATATCCAACCGTCATTTTATTCTGGTGTTATCTCATTGTAGCAGAAATACCAGCCACAGGCGATAGAAGCTCTGTTTTTCAAAGTACTGTATAACTCATCCTGCAGCAAGTCTTTAAATTGCAAAGAGCTTGGGGGAAGCTGCAGAAAAGCAGCTTGACATCATCATAGCTAAAATACTACCTTGTGCTCTTACCTTTTCTCCACAATTTAAATGTTACTGAAATGGTCCTAGCCTGAACAGAAAGATGTGTTAAATGTTGAACTGACTGCCTATTAGAAACTGTCAAAACTATCATATTCTAGGAATGTATCCTCACAGAGATCCAGTGTTGATTTATTCTGTATAGCACAAGAGGTAAGAAGGCGCACGTGTCCTGATTTTTTGAAAATCAAGAAGATAACACTAAGTAAACATGTTACGGTCATACTTCCATGCCAATCTGAAGCACAACTTTATCAGTCTGGTATTTCAGCAACATAAGGCAAGAAATTGCATCCAGAACTACAGCATATTAAATATATTTTTACAGTATATATTATGTATTATTACTACTCAAATAATCAGTTGCAATTGTGTTTGAATAAAACAGTATTTCATACTTTTGTGTATTTATCTGAAAATATACATAAGAGTGCTAAGGTATTGTTCCTTTACAACAGATTTTAAGTCCATGAGGTGAGAAGACATCATAGCTAGACAAATGTACTGAAAACATTATCTGTGAGATTCTGCTTTAGTGGCTAGAATACTACTAGTGTTTATGTAAGGTTTGCACAATTTGTCAGTGTTAATTGTGCCATGATGTGTCTTGTCTGCACAGGCAAGACTATGAAAATGAGCACAGCCAAGATGTGCTTCAGTGCCTCATCAATTACCCTGGTAAGCTATGGAAATACTACACAAAATACCATTCAAATTCTGTCTTTGTTTTGTTTTGTTTTACTTTAATGTGAGTATATTCATCCTGAAAGTTGATCAAAATAATTACATTTCATGTCAAAACTAGACAACTGCAATTGTGTATAAGTTAATTTTGCTTTATTTTATTTAAATCAAAACATAAAAATAAATGAAAAAATTATTATCTAACAAAGCAAACCTAAGGGAAAAAATGACCGCCAGTCAAAAACATAAAATATACAATTGCATAAACAATGCACCACTCCCCTGGTATAATTTGTGGAGACATATTAAGTCTCACACACACACCCTTTACAAAGCCCCATTCCCCTTCCAAAACTGCATTATATCTTGTGAAGATACACAACCTATCCCTTTTATTAACACATAAATAAAATTTCCCCACATATCACTAAAAATACTAGACAGAAATGTCCTCCTTCCCCTATATTATTTGCATTAGTTATAGAATTCTTAATGGATGGTAATACAAAAAGATAATTTAATGAAGGGTATAGGTTTTAAAGAAAAACAATTGAAATTTGTTTATTTACTGAGGATTATTACAAACAGGATCCACCTAAGGTTATAGATCAAGTTAAAAAGATAGAAAACCCTTTTCTTATGAATATATTGCAAATTCAGAATAATTACATGAGAATATTTATCCCATCAATCTTCCTATTATATCCAATACTAGAATTTCTAGGAAATTTGAAAGAGTTTTAAAAATATTAAACAAACAAATTAAAAGATTGGTTGGAGAAGATGAATAGTGGCAGTACAGTGGGGTCTCGACTTACGAACTTAATCCGTATTGGAAGGCGGTTCGTAGGTCGAATCTGCATTTCCCATAGGAATGCATTGAAAACCATTTAATCCGTATCTGCTCTTTTCCGTCCATAGAAACTGATGGGAAACTAATGGGAAGCTGTTATTCCGCCTTCTGCCACTAGAGGGGGATATTTTTTTCTTTTCTTTTTTTCTTAGCTCAAGAAAAATTCAGGGAAAGAGGGGGAAGGCAGGGAACAGTTTTAAAAGCACTTCTGAAATTTTTTTTTCAACGAAGCCAATTTTAAAGCATGCTTTAAAGCATGTTGTGCTGATTTTTTCAGCACAAAGACACACAGGCAGGAGTCTGGAACTCACATCTCAGCCTTTTTAGGTGCTGAGCAAGCCTCCCCAAGCCTCTTCAGAGCCAGCCGATCAGCTATTAGGCAGGGAAAGGAGAGGGCAGGAGCGGAGAAGAGCACAAAATGGCTGCCAGGCTCCCTTCTGGGTGTCGGCTTTTATCTGTTTGCTGCTCTTTTTCCTGCAGTTTGGGGGCTACCAAGGCCTGGTAAGTGACTTTATTTATTTTTAAATTTCTGCCCTTTCCCCCCCCTCCAGAAGCCTCTAAGGGGAGGGGGGCACTTTTTTCCTGTTCGTAACTCGAGGGAAGTTCGTATGTTGAGTATGTAATTTCCTATTGGGCGGGTTCGTAAGTCGAAAAGTTTGTATGTAGAACCGTTCGTAAGTCGAGACCCCACTGTATTAGGAGAAAATAACTTGATTTAATTTGATTCAGTTTGAACAATGGACTAAAAAATGGGTAAAAAGAAATGATGAATATAGGGATTTTACAGAATTTGAAGAGATAGTAGTACAAAAGGAAAAAGATAATGAGAAGGGTAACAAATAGAATTTATAAGATATTAACAGAAGTAGAGGACCAAGCAGAGGAATCATTTTTGAGAAGGGAAATAAATACTGAGGTCTGTAAGAATATTTGGGATTAGAGAATATTAAAGTGTACAGTATGTTTAAGGATAACAGAACTTTTTAATAAATTAGTTTGGAGATGGTATCTAACACAGGTGAAACTGAACTGTATGGATACTAATTCCAATTTATGCTAAGATGTGGTCAGGATGTAATTAGTTATTTTCATATATGGTGGGAATGTGTGAATATAGTGAAATTCTGGAGGTTGGTTTTTAAAGAAATAAAATATTGAAGTTAAATGCAGAGAGACATGCCCCAGAATAACGCTTTTATCAATATTTGATAGAGAACAATGGGATTGGACAGTGAAGTACAAACTGATTTAACAGTGGCAAGACTAATAGCAAAGTATTCAATGGAAGAGCTGGAAGGGACTCTACAGACTGAGTTCAGGCCACTGGGGTAGTGAACTCCCAATTTCTGACTCCAGAGCCAGAGACCTAACCACTGAATTATCCAGCAGTAAAGTATGTTTTTCAATTAAACGCTTGGTATAAAGTATAGAATATAGCTACAGTGGTGCCTCGACTTACAAAAGTCCCAGTTTACGACCATTTCAAGTTACAACCAGCTCGATGCAAAATTTTGCTTCGACTTGCAGCTGGAGCTTCAAGTTACAAACAGAAAAAGGCGGGGAATTCAAATATACTAACTGTTGGTGGTGAAGAGGCTGTCAGCAGTTAGAATGTGTACAATCGGAGGAGGCTTTGGACTGCCTGATAAGGTAAGGTGCTGCTTTGTGCTTTTTGTTAACTGTTTTGCATCATGGTTTTTGGCTGGGGGGGATTATGTTTCTGTGGTATGATGGGTCTTGGGGGGTTGTTTGTTTTTTAGTTTTTTTCCTTCCCATTTCCAATGGGTCTTGGCTTTGTTTGAGTTTTTTTGTCCCCCCAATTTCCGATGGGTCTTGGGGGGGGGGGTTTCCTTGCTTTTTGGAGGTTTTTTCCCATTTCCAATGGGTCTTGGGGGCTTTGTTTGTTTTTGCCCCCCCCCATTTCCGATGGGTCTTGGGGGGTTTCCTTGCTTTTTGGTGTTTTTTCCCCCCATTTCCAATAGGTCTTGCGGGGTTTGGTTGCTTTCTTGGTTTTTTTTCTTCCCCCATTTCCGATGGGTCTTGCACGATCTGCTTGCTTTTTGCTTTGTTTTCTTTGCATTTGCAATGGGTTGCACGCTTGATTGCTTTTCTGCTGTTTTATTTGCATTTGCAATGGGTCTTGCACGCTTGATTGCTTTTCTTTCCCCCACTTTCAGCCGGAAGGGATTGATCGTGTTTCCAATGGGTCTTGCAGGGATTTTTTTTCTTCATTCGGACCGGATTAATTGCATTTCAATGGGAAATGGTGCTTTGACTTATGACCATTTCGAGTTATAACCATCCTCCGGAACCAATTAAGTTCATAAGTCGAGGCATCACTATATTAATATAGGTAATATCTATAAGCTAAATTGTGATACTAAAGTAAAAAAGCTTTGATAAATAAGAATATTTTTAATTTTGCTTTCTAGCAAGGAACAGCAGCTTGGTAAACTATTGATATTCTATGTACAGTGGTGCCTCGCTTAGTGAGTGCACCGTATAGCGATGTTTCCGTATAGCGATCCCTTTTTCGGGATCGCTATACGGAAACATACCCGATCTTCGCAATGGGGAAAACCCGCATTGCGAAGATCGGCTATTGTGGCGGGCA